TGTATAAGGGTTCCCTTTTCTCCACATCTTCACCAGCACTTGTTTTTTGTTAATAATAATGATAATAGATAAATATTATAATTTACTGATCAGGTTTTGATTATATGCAATATCACTGATAATAACTTTTGTAAATTTTCCTACCAAGTCTGATTTTTAAAACCAATTTTGAAGTTTTTCATCTTAGAAAAATCAGTAACACACATTGTCGTGTACAATTTTAGCCATTGCCAGTTATATTTTATCTTGTTTATATTCTACTAGTAATAGTTTTTATGAGTTGGGCAGAAGTGAGAAGTCTATCTTAGCTAGTCAGTGGAGAATGGGAAAATTTTCCTTGGCTTCATTACATTCATTAACACAAATAATAAGAAAACTTTATGCTCCTAACATTTTTGATTCATATTACTTATCAGGATTCTACTATATATCAATATTCAGTGATAACAAAAATATATTTTAGCTGTGCAATTTTATACTGTTTCAAAAGTACAACTTGACTGCCTAAGCTTCCAGGAGACTATATTTAAATGAGAAAAATAGTATGTTTTCTCATGCAAAACCACTTAAAAATCACTTTCAATACACATATAATAAAAATTACGTAACAAGTTTCCCCCAACATCTCCTTTCAAAATTGGAATTTATACTACAGGTCTGTGCGTCTTCCACATCAGCACACACACGAGTTGACTGACTTCCCAGTTGGTCATCACTCACATTTTGTCTGCTAAGAGTGCACTTGAGAAGAGAGGGAGAGGTTCAGAAGTCAGAGCTTAGCAATGTCCTATTATAATTAGAGGAGAGAGACTAAAAGACAGAGTGACTTGCTTACCTAACACCCACTTCATGATGAGCATTTCTGTCCAGGAGAATTGTGTGGTTTTTACTCTGAAGATCTGCTTTGGGTAGTCTGTGAAGGTTTCATTGGGCAGGGTTTTGACGCCTTCGAAGCGGTCTGAGGCATTCACAACTAATAATCCCAAGAAGATGGTGAAAGAAACTGCATGGGCTACAAATTTCATGAAAGGGCTCCTCAGGGTTCGTCCTAGCTGGAAACAAAATATGTACAAGACATGTTAAATGGGGTACTCTATGTGGGCTCACGTTTCTCTTTTTAAAACCCTACTTTTGCCAAAAATTGAATCAGGTCTTGGACAGAAACTGCTAACTGAACCCAGGTAATGTTCTCTCTTGCATTTTTATGTGAGATCCTGCTTGACCAAACCTATTTCTTACCGACTTCAATTTTTTATATTTAGAGGACTTAGTGTGAAAGTAGAAAGAAATAGAACACACTGACATATCATCATGTTGCACTTTGCCCACATAGCTCCCCAATCACATAGATGTAAATTTTATGCCCTTCAAATCTCAATAGCTTTCAGGATTTTAAAAAATCAAACCAAACTCATTGGATACATATTTTGTTGCTCTTTTGTCCATATTTTTGAGTTTTATGCTTAGATGATTTGTTTTCAGTGTTTCTCATATCTGGTAAATGTAGTTAAAGCTGTACATTTCTTGCTATGTACTGCTTTAGCTGTATTCCCATAAATTTTGACATGTAAGCTTTTCTTTGATAGTTATTAAATATTTTATAATTTCTCTTTCCATTTTTAATTCTGAGATTATTTAGTTGCCAAACATATAGGACTTTTTATTTTTTAGTTTATTTATTTACTTATAATTAATTTATTTTTGTTACAGATGTTTCTCCTTTTTCCCCCATTGACACCCTCCTCCCCCTCTCTCCCTGCCCTGTCCCCAACTTTGTTTTCCGTGTCCATTGGTTATGCGTACATGCATATCAGATCTGTGGTTTATCTCCCCCTCCACCCCTTCTACTGAGGATTGTCAGTCTGTACCATACTTCCACATCTCTGGGACTACCCCATTCCTCAGACTGTTATGCTCATTATATTCCACAAATAAGGGAGATCATATGATACTTGTCTTTCTATGCTTGGCTTGTTTTGCTTAGGATAATACTTTCCAGGTCCCTCCATGTCATCTCAAGGATAAGAGATCTTTCTTTTTTACAGCTGCATAGTACTCCATCGTGTATATGTACCACTGCTTTTTTATCCATTCGTCTACTGATGGACACTTGGGCTGTTTCCAGATCTTAGCTATTGTAACTAGTGCTGCTACGAACATGGGGGTACATATATTCTTTCTGATTGGTGTTTCAGCTTCTTAGGGTATATTCCTAGAAGTGGGGTCACTGGGTCAAATGGAAGTTCAATTTTTAAGCTTTTGAGGTAACACCATACATATAGTGGCTGCACCAGTCTGCATTCCCACCAGCAGTATACTGGAGTCCCTTTTTATCCACACCCTCACCAACACTTGTTGTTTGATGATTTGTTGATGGCAGCCATTCTGACAGGTGTGAGGTGACACTTCATTGTTGTTTTAATTTGCATCTCTCTGATGATTAGTGATGTTGAGCATTTCTTCATATGTCTCTTTAGCCATTTGTATGTCCTGTTTGGAGAGATGTTTATTTAGTTCCTCTACCCATTTTTTAATTGTGTTCTTTGTCTTCCTTTTGTTGAGCTGTATGAGCACTCTATATATTTTGGAAATTAACCCCTCATCTGATGTATCATTGGCAATGTTGCTTTCCCATACAGTGGGTTGCCTTTCCATTTTGGTGGTGGTTTCTTTCACTGTGCAGAAGCTTTTGAGTTTGATGTAGTTCCATGTGTTCATTTTTTCCTTTGTTTCTGTAGCCTTACGTAATGTAACAGTGAAAATTCTGCTGTGTATGATGTCTGAAATTTTGTTGCCTACATTTTCTTCTAGGATTTTTATGGATTCATGAGTCACATTTAAGTCTTTTATCCATTTTGAGTTTATTCTTGTGTATGGTGTAAGTTGATGGTCTAGTTTCATTTTTTTGCATGTAGCTGTCCAGTTTTCCCAACACCATTTATTAAAGAGGCTGTCTTTACTCCACTGTATGCCCTTGACACTTTTGTCAAATATTAATTGAGCATAATGTTTGGGGTCAATTTCTGTGTTCTCTGTTTTATTCCATTGATCTATGTGCCTGTTCTTGTGCCAGTATCAGATTGTTTTGATTATAGTAGCTTTGTAGTATATATAACCTGATATCCGGCATTGTGATCCCTCCTACTTTGTCCTTTTTCAAGATTGCTGTGGCTTTTTGGGGTCTTTTTTGATTCCATATGAACTTTTGAAGTATTTGTTCTAGTTCTGTGAAGTATTTAGTTTGTATTTTGTTGGGGATTGCATTGAATCTATAGATTGCTTTGGCTGGTATGGACATTTTAATGATGTTAATTCTTCCAATCCATGAACAAGGTATGTGGTTCCACTTTTTTATATCTTCTTCTGTTTCTTTTTTCAATGTCCTGTAGTTTTCTGCAAATAGGTTCTTTACTTCTTTGGTTAAGTTTATTCCTAGGTGTCTTAATTTTTTTGCCACGATGGTAAATGGGATTGCTTTTTTAGTTTCTCTTTCTGTGAGTTCATCATTGGTGTATAAGAATGCCATCAATTTCTTGAAATTAATTTTGTATCCTGCTACTTTGCCAAATTAATCTATTAACTCTAGTAGATCTTTGATGGAGTTTTTAGGGTTTTCTATGCATAAGATCATGTCATCTGCAAATAATGACAGTTTCATTTCCTCCTTTCCAACTTGGATCCCTTTTATTTTTTCTTCATGTCTGATTTCTGTGGCTAATACTTCTAGTACTATGTTAAATAAGAGTGCAATAGTGGCCCTGTCTGGTTTGTCTCAGCAGTTGGAGTGTAGGCCTGCAGACCAGAGAATCCCAGGTTCAGTTCCCACTAGGGACATGTTACGCCTTCCCCACAAAAAGAGTGGTGAAAGTGGGCATCCTTGTCTTGTTCCTGTTCTGAAGGGAAGTGCTTTTAGTTTTTGTCCATTGAGTATGATGTTGGCTGTAGGTCTTTCATATATAGCCTTTATTATGTAAAGATATGATCCCTCTATCCCCAAATTGCTGAGCGTTTTTATCAGAAATGGGTGCTGGATTTTGTCGAATGCTTTTTTAGCGTCTGTTGATATGATCATATGATTTTTATCTTTTATTTTGTTTATGTGGTGTATCACATTTATTGATTTGTGAATATTGTACCAGCTCGCATCCTTGAGATGAATCCCACGTGGTCATGGTGAATAATTTTTTTGGTGTATTGCTGGATTTGATTTGCTAGTATTTTGTTCAGGATTTTGGCATCTATGTTCATTAGGGATATTGGCCTGTAGTTTTCTTTCTTTGTAGTGTCTTTTTCTGGTTTTGGAATTAGATTTACGCTGGCCTTTTAAAATGAGTTTGGAAGTTTTCCTTCTTGAATTTTTTGGAATAGTTTGAGCTGAATGGGTGTTAGTTCTTCTTTGAATGCTCAGTAAAACTCCCCCGTGAAGCCGTTCAGGCAGGGACTTTTGTTTGCTGGGAGAGTTTTGATTATATCTTCAATTTCCTTAGTTGTTATTGGTCTGTTCAAGTTTTCTGCCAAAGTTTCAGTGTTCAATATTTAATAGCACAACTGACCAAGATTGAAGATGTGAAATTACCATGTTCAAGAGATGAGGGTTAGGGGAAATCACTCTATCAACTAACTATATAGTATATGATAAGAAGAATGCACACTTTACAACATAGTAATTAGTTGCAAAAAGCCATATGGTCTTCTCTTGACTTTTAAAAATAATGTTCCAGATTCCACTGTAAATTAGCAACCTTTAACTCTTCTTCTTCTTTTTTTTTTTTTATCCTCACCAGAGGACATTTTTTGATATTTTCTTCAGATAGAGTGGGAGGGAGAGAGAGAGAGAAACATCGATGTGAAAGGGACACATCGAGTGGTTGCCACCCACACGACCCAACCAGGGCCGGGGACAAACTACAACAGAGGTACGTGACCTTAGTGGGAACCGAACCTGGGTCTTTCTGGACCACTGGCCAACGCTCTAAGCGCTGAGCCAAACCGGCTAGGGCTCAACTCTTCTTTGTAGCAGTAGCAGGTATCTTGTTTTCACCTTCCAGTTCTTCCACCTCAGTCTGTGTCATGAGGTCTGCAATGTTTTTCTCTAGGTCATCAATGTGACTATTCATGTCATCAATTTTTCCAATGATCTGGTTGGACATGGTCTGAAATTTATCTTGCAGCTGTTGCAGTAGTGTCTGCACCACTGAGGTGAGATCCTGCATGGTCTTGGGGTCAGTCTTGGCCATTCCTCTGGTTTCCAGCTTGGTGGTGATTCCTCAAACCATCGCCAACACTTCCATTTATGCTTTTTTTGTTTTTAAAAATTATAATTTTATTGCAGCATGTTTACAGATCATAGTTGCTATGATAATACACTGAAACATTCTGAGATTTTCCTTGTGGTCTAGTATATAATAAATGTGTGCAATTGTTCCATGTGAGCCTGAAATGATCCAAAAGATGCCCTATTAGGGAGCAAGATTTGGTTACATCTTCTCTATCCTTGACATGCCATCTAAAGGCCACTCAAATCTTATTTGGATTCACTTGTATTATCAACTTGTCATATGGCACCAGAAAAACCTCAGAAATAGAAAATGATGTTTACTAGAAAACCACAGGGCCCACAAACATCTTAGAAATGGCTCTTTTCATAATGTTTAACTTTATTATTTATAAGATAGGGATGGTAGATTATTTTTTGCTATAAGTAGATGTGCTAAATTCAGAATTCAGAGGTTAATATAAGGACAAATAAAACATTTCACATAAATTCAGTAAAAATATGAAATTAAATCATGTTTCATTTTGATTGATATGATTTCAAGTACCAAGTTTTAATTTTTTAATATTTTAATTGACTATGTTGCATCTTGAAGCCCTGTTTTTCAACCAGGACACTGGATCACTTTGGTGTATCCAGGAGACATCCTTAAATAGCCATCACATTGTTTCTGTCACTGTATCTTTTCTGGGGTAGTGGTGAGAGGCAAGGGAAGATGGAGAATGACTGCATGGTGGGGAGTGGGCTGTGGGGAGAGGGAAGGTTGAGGAGAGCTCAAGGGACACAAGCTCTTGTGTTTGCCAGCAGGGCCCCAGAAATATCAGAAAAAAGATGGGGGACACAGAGATAGACACAGCTCTAAAGGGATTGATGGGTAAGTTTCCCCATCATTTATCAGTGGTTTCTATGTAGCATCTGGTAGCTACCTAGATGAGGATGTGGGGATATCTCTCCATCTTTTCATGTGGGTGAGGCACCTTATTGCAGGAATCTGTGAAACTGTATCCAAGCTAGCCCTGGGATTCCTTGGGAGAGCTGTTTTGAGGATTTAATGTCTTTATTACTTTCTTCAAGTTATTCATTTCTGAGAGAAGATGCATCTGTAAAAATTACTATACCCATAGCCAACCATAAGAAAAAACCCTGAGAAGGCCCTGTCTTGATTTGGAAAGTTATCTTGGGCTCAGTTCCTACTTGATCTAGACTATAGGGAGGAAAAGTGAGGTTAGGAATTGATCCTCCTTTCCTAATTTTCTTTTGGTCTTTTTAGCTGATAAAACTGTGATAAAGGTCAGATGAGATAAAATTATTTCAGTGCTTTTCTTTCTTTCTATTTTTTTGTGACAGTTCTTATTTGTCTCACAAAGGTAATTTTTGAAACAAGTTGCACTTGGGAAAACTTCCTCCTCTCACAAGGCCACCAGGTGAGCCAAAAGAAAGAAAAGTCAACTAATATGTGCCAGTGATTCTGAGCTAGGAATCATTAAAGCTGTGTCAGGTAACAGCATAGGTGTCAAAGGAGATGGTAGAGCTTCAGAAAATGTAGGCCTTGACCTGCTCTGCCTGGAATGCAAAACTCATTCCTTAGTCTGAAACATGAGCTCAGCAGCTCTGTCATTACTTAGACCATATGAGCTAAGAACATACCAGGAAATCCAAGCTTGCATAACTAAGTCTGGCTCACCCCAAACTTTCTGGGCACTATCCTTTTACTTTGGGAAATACATGAATGTAAAAAAACTGAGTAGCACTCCTGAATTAGCTCCAAATGAACTGCATTTATGAGCCCTCAGGTTGGGCACCTGCTTTTACTGGTTGGCACACCTCTGTGTTCCATGGCACTGAGCTCTTCGCCCTGACCCCAAGTGTAAGCACCTAACTGAACCTGGTGGGCACATGCCCACAGAAAGGGTCAGGACTTCAGTAGAGCACACAGGATGTTTCTAGCATCTCTCCCCCGTCTATGCCATCAGATGCCACTCTCACTTGTCGCCAGGTGCCAGTGGTCTTAAGCAAGGGCTCAGTGTACAAGCTGGAAAGCGGAATGGAGACAAACTTTGGATCAAGTATTCCTAAAAGAAACATCTTCAGGGCTGGAGTGCTTCTTGCATTTTAGAGATCCCAGTTAAATTGGTAGCAGTTTCCTCAGGATGCTCCCTCCAAAAATGTTATTCAAAACATCTAACCTAGGGCTCAGGAATCTTTTCTTTGGGCTGGGGAATGCTCCCTAAGAGTTTCTATTCAGGGTCTTCTTACATTACTACATGAACCCACCCATCCTGGGGGCTGAGGAGGGGCCCAATAATAGTGGGATTTCAAAGGCAGGGCTTCCAGGGAAAGAAAAAAAAGTACTATTTGTCATACGGTGATTTTTATTCCCCCCTTCTAGAAAAGTCTTGCTAACTCTAAAGATCTTAATCAAATCCATTCTAAAGGCATTTGGTCAGCAGGTAAGATGTTTGCATTCAGCAATGAAAGTTGTAATGCTGCTGATATAACTGGGTGGAGGCGGAATGGCTGGTATGGGTGTGTGTGCATATGTCCAGTGGATAAGGTCAAGTCTCTGAAGCCAGAGAGCCTAGGTTTAAATCACAACTCAATAGTTTTTGGCAAGTTACTTAACCTCTTTGTGCCTTAGTTTCTTCATTTGTGAAAACAGGGGTAAGATAGTACTTACTGCATAGAATATGTGCAAAACAGAGCAGTGCATGGCATATAGGAAGCACTCAATATGTGGCACTGAAGGGCCTCAGGCAGTTCCCCTTAGGGGAAACTTAGACTTGACTGACTCTTGGAAATCTTATATGCAAGGGTTCACAAAGGAAGACCTATATAGTCCCTATGTATTTATGTCACAAGCCCTTTTGGGGCACTATCTGTATGCAACATGATTCTGGGCATTGGAGGTGATGGAGATGAAACAGGCTATACAAATTGGTCCTTTCCTTCAGAATTGCTGGTTTTCTAGTGGGGAGAGACAGGCTGAACACTATGGTATGAAATAGATGAAGAGATGGGGAGAGAATGTTGCAGGTTTCAGACTAGGCTGGGTGTGAAAGTGATCGGCCATCTGACACTCTTAAATCCTGTACCACAGGGTAACAGGTGATAGACTCTCATTTTGGATTTGAGGGTAGAAACTTTTGTAACAGAGGAGCAAATTTCTGTTTCCTGGAACAAATTTTTCCTCTGTGGCAATGCTTCAAAAATTTCATCGTAATTTTCTTTAATCCAGTGTAGCCCTCTGGTAGAAGCAAATGAGGGGGCACAGAGGTCTTGAAGGTATGATCCTCTCCTGGTTGGCCCTGGACCACATGTAAGAAAGAAAGATCTCTTATTCTTTGAGACAACATGGAGGGACCTGGAGAGTATTATCTTAAGCGAAACAAGCCAATCAGAGAAAGAAAGTATCACATGATCTCACTTATTTGTGGAATATAATGAACGAAACAAACTGATGAACAAAACAGACTCAGAGACATAGTAGTAGGGTACAGACTGACAAACCTCAGAAGGGGGGTGGGGGAGAGATAAACCACAGAACTTAAATGCAGGTATGTATAACCATGGACATAGACAACAATGGTGGGGACGGGTGCAGGGGTGGGATCGGGAGGAAAGGATCAATGGGGGAAAAAGGAGAAACATTTGTAACAACAACAACAACAAAAATCAAACTACTTTAGCTTCAGAAAAGCAAAGCAGGGATCCTCAAAAACTGTAGAATCACCCATGCCTTCCTGACTAGATGTTTTTATTTAGGATGAGACAGGGTTGGGAGCAATGACTAACACTGATATTTCTGCAAGCAAGAGCTCCATGGCAGTAAATACTGGTAGATTGCACACTACAAAGACATCAGGTGGGAGTGTACAGTTGTTTACAGTTCTTCCTGCCTGAGTCCTTGGACTAATAAGGATAATGGAACAGTGAAGGTTATCAGGTAGCCAAGGAAGTCAGCTTCCCCTCTTGTATTTTTATAATTAGGATTTGTGTGGTTCCTCAACAATCTCATGGTGCTTACTTCTGTCCCAGTCTACCTGCTGTGGAGACACTGAGCCCTTGAAGATGGCTGTTATTTTTTCAGCTGTTAGATTTTAATAGGAAAACAACCTAAATTATGAATCAGAAGGGAATAGTAAAGGATGGAAAGCAGCCTAATCAGTGATCAGGGCCATTTGGCTTTGGGACCCTTGTTGGAGCTCTCTAGCAAAAGATCTACCTGAGAGCATCCATGTGACTAAGAACCCACTGGCCCTTCAGGGGCTGCCTGACCTCCCCCATACTGGTGTTTATGATGAGAGATCATAAAAACAAAAATTACTGATCTGTTATTGACCCTGACAGAACTTTCCTGTGCTCCAGACCTGCCATTATCACCATATGGGCACATCTGTGACTTTGTCATTCTCCTCAACCACCAAATTAGGAAGATGAACTTCTATTTACACCCTTAGCCTTATAATCTTACTTAGCTGTCTTTCTTAGAGACCTTCAGAAACTTATGTAAAAACAGAATTGACAGCATTGGGAATTCAATAGGAAATAAGGGATGAGGTTATCTTGGCAGGCTAATCAAGTAATTTTTGGTGCCCCTAGAAAATGACAGCAACTATTAGGAATTAAAGACATCATTAAGTTGGAAGCAGAAATCTCAATATTTATTAGACATTGATAGACAGTAGCTGGTTGATGAGGTTTAGCAGTGAGATTTTATGAATATGTTTATCAAAAAATATCGGGGTCTAATTTCTTTGAGGGAATTGTAATAAGGTCATTAGAACATGGACCTGCTGGAATGACACTGGCCTTTTCATAGAATTACTAGATAGATATAAAGGCAATGGCCCCCTGGGAGGAGGGATACTGGCATATTAACAGAGTTCTCCACTGTGCCACCCCTCTTTGGAGGACATTGTATTCAGGACATCAGGAGCCTCTAGAGAGGGCTGCTTTCTTTGA